AAGTAGCACGTTTGGCTATGGCTATCGCTGACCGTGCGACGGCGCAGGCGGATTACGGAGACGGCATGCGAGCATCACTACCCTTCCCCGCTCCTGTGCGTTTTTGAGCGGAGAAAATGGACACGCTACTGCAGCTGCAGGACTCATTCTCCCCATAAATGGCGAGGACCAGACCAGGTGGTGAGAGTACACTTATGTTCAAGTTAGCTCAGATTGTGCCCTCGCACAAATTCGTCGCCTGCAAAATGTGCGCATTGCCATTTGGTTTGTTAAACCACCTGCTACTACTACTACCACGAATGCTCACCACAAAAATGCCCTGTTCTCTATTGACTTAGCGCCCGAACGACGTCTGCAAAAGACCGTAATCTGATGCCTACTCTCACCGCGGCTAATGCCGTTTGGACTCCAGAAATTTCGTCTTCGAGCTCATTTTCAAATTGCCTAAGTCACCAAATCCACTAAAAACTTGTATATAGGGGTAATTCAACATCCTGATTACGAGTATGACACTCATTCTTGGCGCTGGCGCCAAGAGAGGACACTACGATTACCTCCTGGGCTCAGCCTTAGCAGAGCGCAGGTAACCGTAGTGTCATCCATTAGCGCCAGCGCCAAAAATGAATGTCATATTCGTGATCAGGATGTTGAATTACCCCTATATACAAGTTTTTAGCGGATTTGGTGATCTTGCCACTTTTAAAATGAGCTCGAAGACGAAATTTCTGGAGTCCAAACGGCATAGCCCTCACCCGCGGCCAGGCAGCCCACAGTGTAATTCCCTTATATTGACTTGTTTCTCTGGAAAAAAGGTTTCAGCCGTACGTATCTATAAAACTCAGTGGCTTGTCAAGCGGTAGAAGGTCAGGCGATGCAGCCAAAGAGCAGAGACGCTTGTGATAGCTAGTTTTTTTGGCATATTTCAGGACCGGGTGTACTCTATGAAGATGTAGGTTTGATTATGGACTCCCTGCTTAAAGTACTCTTTAGGGCTTCTGCAAAATGACAAAGTACGAGCAATTTCGTGGTCGGAGTCCCGACCGGATTTGTTGGCAATTCAGTACTACCAGCATCCAACGGAATTTCGATCGATTGAAGGAGGAGCAGAGGTGAGGGCGATAGAAACATCATATTAAGTGTAGCTCTGTAATTGCAGAGGTGATGCAAAAAGCTGTAATTTGCAGGTGACACCTTTCCTAGTTCCTTTGAAGCTCAGCCAAAAATTGAAAATTTGCCGCGCAACATTTATGTGCGTGCAGTTACGAAGTCCATTAGTTTTTTAGAACACAAGTGTCGCCCACCTGGACGTTACGATTGTGCCCGCATGGGTAAGTGCAGCACCCGTAGGATCGTCATTCGCTAAGGGAGGACGTATGGCAACGCACTATCGTGAATGGGACGATGCGAAGCAAATGTGGCATTATAGTGTTGAAGTGAAGAAGGTGAGTGGGAAAGGAACTACGTCAAGTTTCATAAAAAAGTTATACATAGGAAGCTGAATTTCCAAATCAGAAAGTGACAAATTATAGTAAATCGCTTAGGCAGCGTTCAGACGTCGTGATGACTCGCGTCGACGCGCTTTAACGCGCTGTAACACGCAACGGCGCGCTACAATTTCTCTAGGCGAATGCGACCGTAAGGGTCAAACGCTCGGCGCCGGCCGCTTGTGTTTTGAGAGAGTTTTGAGGAATCGGAGGGTACTAGATTGTCTGACATGAGAGCAGCGCTTACTCTCCTGTTATTCGTACACTCTCTCAGAACACTAGCGGCTGGCGCCAATCGATTGCCGTCTGCGGCTGCTTTCGCGTCTATAGTATTGGTGCATTGCAATTGCAGCGCGTCGTCGCGAAGCCGAACGCTGCCCGGTATTTGAATAGCGCGCGATTCGCATTTTTATTTAATAGTGAAAGAAAAATGTTCTTTTGCTTGTGAGTAGTTATGTAAAGAAATAGGGCCCTAGTTCCAAGGGTTTGTACGATAATTTTAAAGAAGGACGCCAGTAACTTTGGGGTGGGCCGCACCGGTAAGCGCTTGTTTGCATAAAAAATCCCGTGAACTGCATGCATGCGAATATCGGACAACCTTTTCAACACCCTGTAAACCTTGTTATCACCTGTGAAGCACCCTGTAAACTCCTGTCAAACCTGTCACGATGACAGGTCAAGGACTTGGAAAAAAAATGGAAATGGCGATTCAATGTCGCTGTCACCAACTTCCATTCTTGACAGGAGCTTACAAGGCTCTTGGCAGGAGTTCACAGGATTTGAAGGGTGAGACACGGCTGTGTAAAGACAAAAGGAAAAAGAATGGCGAAACGCTCACAAGTGTGCCCCCCCATGGTTATCACGGTCATAACGTGGGCTCAGAAAATTGAAGGTTCCGCTAATCAGTGGATCAAACACTGTAACCAGATAAGTAAATGAATGAGGAAACAGTGAGCAGCTCGAAACGTGAGGCTTTTTGGGTCAATCTCTCCTTTAAAGGGGAGGGGCGAGTTACCGTGTAGTCAAACTGGGGCTGGTCAATGTTGTCTGAAAAACGCCGTGCATTCGATTTTCTGGAAAGTTCTAATCTTCTTAGAGTACATATTTCGTCCCAAGCAATGACGTTCTAGTGCTGGGCGTTGTATAGGTCACGTCGTTCGTGGAATCCCATGAAATTGTACTTAGTCTTGCAGGCTTCTCAGGAAGTCCCTCATCAACACTTGAT